TCATACAGAAGCCACCCCTGTAACCGCCCCCGCTACCAAAAAACCTTGCCACACAGACCCGTTACAGAAGCACCTACATATCCAAAGGTAAATTTAAATCTATAGCCTGACAGTGTGATATATCCCAACTGACATTTGTTCCTGCAAAACCTTGATGTCTTTAGCCCCGGGCCGTACTTTTTCAATGTAGTTTTAATTTTCTACAATTGTTTCTGAATTAATTTCTGAAGTTGTTCTGTATACATAGACAAAACATGCCTTCTGTTGCCTGTTACAGAATGAATACCTATATGAGGGTGTTGATGCAAGAGTTATAGAATATGAGGACAACAGGCCCCTCTTAGATATGTTCCTGCAGAAACCTATGGGTTTATTGTCCCTGCTGGATGAAGAAAGTCGATTCCCACAAGCAACAGATCAGACACTTGTAGGTAAGTATATGGTTTATTTCACAGTTTTGCTGGATGTCTCCCTGTTAGATGTCTGTTTGGTGTGTCCAGTTTAGGCCGCATACTAGCTGTGTTTTTAGTGAGCCCATATTCCAGTGTCACAGTGGGTTTGAGGGAGGCATGCATGCGAGGATGGTTGTGTCTTTGAAGTTGATAAAGAAACATGAAGAGTACAAATAAACCTAAGGTGCTGATCCAGGTTTTGAATTCCCCTGCCTTCAGTAATTTTTAGCTGCAGGGTAAGATAAAGATCAAACTGAGTTAAAACTCCAGGTTCATATGCCAAGAACACTCTTTTCACAGTCGAGTCATGTTCAGCTCTGAGATTTTTGATGAGCCATATCTGAACAACAATTTTAGTACTTTTTAAGGGTAATAGCTGCAAAGCTGCCTCAGTGCCTTTCAGCAAATTATGCTTCCTGGGTTTTTTTCTATTCAGAAATTAAAATTGAAACACCTAAATATGTAGTGATTCAGATCCTGAATATTTCCGTGCTGCTGAGTAGTTGCAGTTACAGTTAAATTAGTTATTTCAGTGGGATTTCTGTGCAAATAAATCCTTATTTTACTTATTTTTGAATGTTCAAAGTGTCAGATGAAAGTTTTAACCAACACCCAATCACAAATCCTAATAATATCCAGTAACGATGCCCATGCTAAAGCAATTATATGAGCTTGTTGTCTTTCTATCCTCATACTTTTTAGTCTACAGTATAGAGGCCCTCAATCAATTGGCAAATGTTTCCTCACAATTCCCCAAGGAATCTTTAGGAAGGATTACTATGTTGTTTCATATATGAAGATCAAAAGTTTGGAAAGGCAAGTGATTTTCTGAGGTCACACAGAAAAAAAATTGGTACGAAGTAACTGATCCAAGAGCTCCCATATTCTCTATCCAGTGCCTTTTGTAACAAGACCATTATGGTATCTTTGTCCTTAAAAACATCAGAGTCTATTTTGTGTCTCCTCATGGTCTGAGAAGTCAGGCAATATCCTTAGAGGATACAGATTCAGAAGACAATTATTATACAATAACTCCAGTAAGACAAGCTATGTGTTTCCTTTCAGAAAAATTCGAAGATAATTTGAAGTCAAAATATTTTTGGAGACCCAAAAGAGTAGATCTAACCTTTGGGATTTATCATTATGCAGGAAAGGTAAGAGACCTATATGATATTAGTTGGGGATTGTGGAATGGTAGGGCTGGAAGGAAATAGAAGAGATCAGCTGAGTTGGTTCTCAACCTTTATCCATTCAGGCCTGACATGGAAATGTTGGAAGTGCCTTACACATCAAAAGTAAATTGAAAAGTTATATAGCAGGAGTGTATTTTTCCTAAATGTCACCAGGTAAATGAACCGACAGTATTATAGAAGAATCAAAACATAACCATTGTGCAGTGCAACTCAGTGCTCTTCCCTTTAGCTCCCCAAAGTCCTGCGCCATGCTTGTTCTCACTGCTTTGAATCAGGATCCAGCTCCATTCTTCCTACTACGTTCTACACCCCATCAGCCTTCCTTAGTTCTGTACTTTGTCATTGTCCAGATAGATAGCACAGGCCCTGCTTTTTGCTTCATTTCATGAGCAATGTCTTACCCTCCTGTACAAGGTGACTTGCTGCACATGCCTTTCAAACTCAGCAGGATTTGCTGACGCACTGCAGCAAGATGCCACTGGTCACCTGAATGTTGCCTTGTGAAAACACTTCCTTTTGATCTCTTTTAAAGTGTATGGAGTGGGCATTGCTGTCTCACATAGGAAGCTATGTTTGGTCTGTGCAGTACTGGAGCTGCTGGCCTGAAAAGAGGCAACATGCTGCCCATCAGCTGGTGGAAGGTAACTTGCCCCTTGTGTAAGATAGCCAGCTATGAAAAGACCTGCAGTACCTCCTCTGAACCTCATCTCCAGCTGAATTACACTTCACCAGCATAGCATATCTCACTGCTGAGAAGCGGAGAGCCAGCTCTCCCTGTACAGTTCCTGATACCAGCCACTGAAGATGGGGATTCTACCAGTACCCCGTCAGCCCTTTGCAGTGTTCAACAAGCTTTTTCATTAGGAAGTTTCTCCTACTGCCTAACTCGTATCTCCATTTGTGTTGTAAGTTCATTACTCCTAGTCCTGTTTACTGTGGAATTGGAGAACAATTTATTTCCTCTTCCTTTACAAGCCACTTTTGTAATTTAAGACTCTTACTGGCTCGTTTTGCGAGGGTTTTTTCTAAATTAAATGTGCCAGTATCTTCTACTCTTCTTCACAGGACAGGTTTTCTTGTGGGTCCTTTACAACATCATTGAGGTAGAGCCCTGGAGGTACATTTTAAATTAGGTACACCATTCCTGGAATTTTTAGAGCCATTTCAATTGCCAATATGCAGTTTGTGATTTTGCAAACTTCTTCTACAATTAATACAGAGATCTCTAGGAAGAGTGGTAACTCCTGGGTCCAGTACAGCACGATATGAATGGGACAGAAAGATTATACAGTCGTATGGGTAATCCTGTGTGATGTGGTTAAAAACAAGTGTATCGTTAATTGTGCATTTACACATATACTGGTGTAAAGGAGGACAAGGATACACTTAAATTTACAATTACTTTTCAAAAGCCCAGAAGATGCATAAATGCATTTTTTAAACAGGTTCTATATAATGCAAGTGGATTCCTAGCCAAAAATAGAGATACCCTGCCAGCTGATATTGTACTGCTACTGCGATCATCTGAAAACAATCTGACGCGACAGTTGGTAACCCATCCTCTTACAAAAACAGGTATTGCTATTGTGGTAATCTTCTTACTCTTCTCTAGCCTTCGTAATGACCATTGCTAGGTTTCATATGACCATTTATTGATGACATTATACACTTTGTGGCTTAACTTTCCAACCCTAGAATCTATACAGAATGGAGCCCCAGCCATCTCAAGCTGCAGGGGAGGGATTGGTCTGGTCAAGTGCCAAGGAAGTGGTAGAGGCTTCTTTCAGGGTCCTCTCTTCAGGGTAGGGGAGCAAGACAGGGAGTGGAGTGCATCCCTTGAGTTGAGGACTGAACAGAAAGGATCAGGTAAGTCACTGGCCTTTTTTGGACAGGGCATATATAAATTGCCTGTTTTGTCTCAGTGCAATTTTTCTCTAAAGTAGTAAAGAACCAGGGTTGGGGCTCCTAACATCTGCTGCAAAGAGTGAGGAGACACTTCTCTATTTCCCCAGTCTTTTAGTCCTTTACAATAGGTAACTGATGGGGTCCTAGTAGTGAGCCTTTCCTCGGGGAGTTCATGAGTTGGGGTGGAGGAACATGACTGGCTCTACAGAAATTACTCCTAAGTTGCACCTTAGTTGAACCAGGTCCTTGCACAGTGTTCTACCTGCCATTTAGGATGATGGGTAAGTCTCCTTACAACCAGGTTGCTATTGTGTTGTATTACTCTCTGCATGATGGCATTGATGCCATACAGTAAGTACTTTACAACATTACCTTCTTGTACAACTACATGGGAGATGTACTTGTAGCAGAACAGAAAAGCTAAATTGGAAGAGCCTAATGGAAATTTCTTTAAAATGTTATCGTAGCTTACAGAAACTGAGGTTTTGGCAAGGCTCCTGTTCTTCACAAAGGGAGCTTTGCTGGTGAAATGCAAAATTTGGTCTTGAAGGTCTATTTTAAGTCAGTGTTCCTGGGAGAACACTGAGCTTAATGTCCTTGCCTGAACTTTTTGACTTGTTGATATCTGCTGAGATACTAAACCATAATTTCTGTAGAGCCAAAGTCAGGGCCCAGATGGTCCCAAGAACTGTTCCAAAGTCTTATGTAGTGTTTTGCAAGATAACTGTGAAGGTTGTTTTCGTCTTCTTGTTAAATATTATGAAACACTGTGTGTAGCGTTTCGAAACTGACCCAAACCATCCAGCTATAGCCAACTAAAAGTAAGATTTCTGATCTAGGTTATTGATCTAGAATAAGTGGAAATGTAGAGGTTTATGCAGAGTCCAGCTCATCTTGCCTATCTCAGGTATTTCTCTTAGGATGGGATAAATCTCCTCTGAAGGTGCCTCTCTCCACTGAATACAGCAGGGATCCTGTAGACACCTCACTTTCAGATAGCTGAAGTTAGGTGTGAGTAATCCTCTCTCTTTCCTTCCAACCCTGTGATATTCAGCTAAGCCCAAGGGAGGTTTAGCACTTGATATCATCACATAATACCTGATGCATTTGCTCAGTATGTTGTGTATTTGCAGCTGTTTATCCAATTCTTATCCACCTTTTACTGATAGTAGCTGAGCACAGAGAGATTACAGGCTCTCCCAGTGGAGTATGAGATTCCAGAAGTGTTATGTTATTAGCAGAAGCAATGGCAGCATGCAGCAATGGTTGGGGTTTATCAACATAGCATGACATGATGGAAAGCTCAGCAGAATTTTCATTATTCCTTTAGAAGATCAGTGTCTGTAAACCACTCCAATGTACCTAGTCCTTCAAATCATTTTGATAAAGGCATTACTTGATTAAGAGTTCCAAGGTTAGAGTCTTAAGACTATGTCTATGCTAGTAAACCAAACAGGGCCAGTGAAAGGTAGCTGAAACACTCTCACAGGACTGCCCATTCTGACTAATTGTTAGGATGCCTCCCTGGGACAGTTTTGGACCATGTCAGCTGGCAGTCTCCCAGAAGTACCTGTGCACCCTTCAAGAGAAAGCATAGGCCAGTAATGGTTTCCAACAAGCTCTGTGGAAAGATACAACCTTATTTTTACCACAAAGTTAAAAGAGTAGTGAATTACAGAGTTTAGCTGTATAGACTTGAGTCATGCCATGTCACTTGCCCTCAGGGCCAGAGAAGGGTGCTAGCACTTTTTTTTTTTACTAGTATATAGGTAGCCTTAGAACTAGAATAGCACAATAACATCCTTAGGGTAAAAACACATGGATGCTCTAAGATGTATCTTTCTTACCTTCTCCAGCAGTCTGTTTGTTAATTTTTTTGCTCTAGTAGGTGACACAAGTGCTAAAGGAGGAAAATTCAGCCCGTGTTCCATCTTCATCCAGCTTCTTCAGAGCTTGGTCCAACCCAAGGGTAGAAGGGGAAATGAGGACATACTCCGAAAAAGTCAACGACCTTTATAATCTTATGGTTACACTGGGGTCATGAATATGGTGGTTCAGCATAGTTTTTAGTTTTGATGACATGTAAGCATTTTGGTAGGTTGCTTTCTTTCATCTTCCCACAGGTAACCTGGCACACACTAAAAGCAAAACTACAATCAGTTACCAAATGTGGACCCCCCAGAAATCAATCAGTCATACAAAGGTAATAAAACTCACTTTGTGATTCTGCATTGAACTGTAATTTAAACTAGAAAGGCAATACTGTCATTGGTACTAAGAGTAAGCAAATAACCCCTTCCTTGGTTTTTCTCCCTCTCCTATTTTCTTTTTCTGTTTAGCTGGATATCTTTGTGTTGTGCAATTCATATTCCTTCCGTGAGGTAAAAACCTAACATTTCTCTTCTTTCTGGCTATAGTTTTATAACAACTTCAGGGGAAAAAAATATTATTTCCCAGCTGTATTGTTTCAAAAAAGAGAAATTAAAATATTGGTGTGGAGTATAGTCAAGTTCCTTAGAGAACTACCAAATAACAGTGATGATGAAATAACAGACAGGACCTCAGACATTGCCAGGTTATTTGTGGCAGCTATTTAGATGCTCCATTATCAAATTGTGTCCTCTGTGTGTGAACGTTTGTGTATTGTGTGGCAAAGTAATGTAACGTACTGGTGTAACTGATTTGTGCTAGTGATCGTGCTGTAACTTTTTCTGTTTAGAATACTTTTTTTTTAACCAATTATTTTCTCTGAGGGCTGCTCTGTTGTGGCTCAACAGAGATAAAAAGTATAGTTTTCTTTCTTCATCTCTATAGAATGAAGCAGGAGATACTGGACATCATCCAAGAGAGACAACCAGCATGAAAACACAGACAGTTGCTTCTTATTTTAGAGTAAGAGATCAGATTTTTTAATAAATTTTTCTAGAGTAGCATGAATGTTTATTCTTTCACCTGTTGAAATGCACCTGTTGACTTAGAGTCAACAGTGATCCATTTAGAGTTTGTGAACTACATATATGGTGCAGCAGTCTGTGCAGTACAAATATCTAGAGGAGAATGTGGTGTTTCATCTTTAATTGCACTTGATTACCCAGCCACATTTCTGTCATGATGATGTACGAGAGTGATATTAATCTTTCACTTGCTTGCTTTTCTACCAAGGGACATAAAGGGAGGTTGGACATCAGTGGTATAGCATTTCTTTAAGAGTTTAAGAAGCAAGAGGGCAAAGTTAATTTGAAGCAGGAGCTCCAGAGAAAGATCTTGATGATCGCTGCTCAGAGGCTGTCCTGAGTCCGTCCCTGTGGCTCCTTCAGCAGTGCTCTTGACCTTCCCAGGCACTGGCTGTGCTGCTGGTCCTGCAATAGAAAATAGCTATGAAGAGCATTCTTTCCTCCAAAGTGATGCACAGAATTGCTTTGCTTGGGCTCAGCTCTGAATTTCCAACTCTTATTTAGTCATCAGCATAAAGATGGCTGAGATGATGTTCATGACCCGTAAGAGTTTACATCTATGACAGAGTGCAGTAAGGAGCAAGATCTCTGTTTAGTAGATACAGTTGCACAGCTTTGTGGACTGCAAAGGATAATTTCAGCTTAGGTATCATGGCAGCTCAAAGCTGCATGACATTTTAAAGTTCTAGATGGAAAAAATTATTAACTCTCATTCAAACCTAATGTCTGTGGTTCAGTGCATTACCAGTGCACCTAGCATCAGAGGCTGCAAATGAGTTAATTATATTTACACTTTTCCGTTATTATTTTCTGTAGTGGAAAGCTCTGCTCAGATCATGCTAGCTAATGCTCTTAAATGAAGATTCAGCTTCAGCCCCACTGGTTTACTCGTACACAGAAAACTATGGGTGCTTGAGAAAAGCATCAGCCACCTCAGACTGAGTGGAAAAAAAAATTATCCATTAGTGTGTCTTACTTGTTTGTGTTCAGTTGGCACACTAGTGATGAAGCTAATTAAGCACTTTGCTGCATGGTGCAGCGTCTGTCCAGAATGGAATTGCACATTTTAATAGGAAACATATGGCTCTTGACGTCCTACACTAGTTTCCTGTATCCAATGTACTGCTGAACTGTATTACCTCCTGGCTGCCTCTTTCTGTTGAGTCAGGTTGAATCTTGAGGAATGAGCCTCTTCATTTGTGTTTTAATAAGATCCTCCCATAAAGCAATTTTGCAAAACACCAGTCAAGGTTGTTTACAGCCAGATTCATCTCAGTTGGCATGGGGAGCTACAAACTGCATCCCCTCTACTAGCTTGGTACCCTGGTAGGTGGGAAAAGTGCAACTTTGCGATTGTGATTTTGTGTACTTCTAGTTTTGCCATCCTCAAAAGTTTCTTCTTGGCAGGGCAACTATAGTATCACCATCAGCCTATACAATGAACAGGATGTACTAGGCCAGAGCAGTTTAAGCAACCCCACATCTGGGGTGGCCTTAGTTTCCTCTAGTCTAATGAAGGGATGGCAGTATTTACTGGCTTTTCGCT